TACTGTGTACAGGTTTAACTGCTGTTTTGTTATCACTTATGCCACATTTGTTCCTTCTCTTCAGCTGCCAGTTTGATGCATACTTTCAATGCCCATGCTGCCACAGACATTACAGGATTTGGGATTCTGGGCCACGCACAGAACTTGGCTAAGCAACAGCGTAGCGAGGTATCATTTGTCATTCATAATCTACCCATCATTGCCAAGATGGCTGCTATTAGCAAAGCATGTGGCAACCGGTCCAGGCTCCTCCAAGGGACTTCTCCAGAGACTTCTGGTAAGTTGGATAAACCAGGCAATGAACAAGAAAAATGTAGACCTGGATTCTGTGGAACATCTCTAAATGACGTGTAGTGGATCAGCAACAATTGCAGATTCCCAAACATATAACAAAATCACTTCACTTCCCTAGTCCTCCCACAACTGCTGAAATTAAAACAAAACAATTAGGTATGGATTTGTTGTGTAAAAACTGAGCTTTGTGAAATCTTACCTTATAGCACAAGAGCCTTCAAACTTGGCACACTTAAGTCTTGTGGACTTCAACTCCCAGAATTCCTGAGCTAACATGACTGGAGGAGGAATTCTGGGAGTTGAAGTCCACAAGACTTAAAAAGCTGTCAAATTTGAAGACCCCTGATTTAGCAGATTGTAAGAGTTTAGGTTAATCTACAGTGGTTACAGAGGGATGGGGAACTATCATTTTTTGTTGATTATAATTTGCTGTCTTTCTCTTACAAGGGGGGCTGCTGATTTGTCTACCCCGGGAGCAAGCTGCCCGCTTCTGTGCTGAAATAAAGTCACCTAAATATGGAGAAGGACACCAAGCTTGGATCATTGGCATTGTGGAGAAAGGCAACCAGACAGCTCGAATCATTGATAAACCTCGTATTATCGAAGTAACCCCACGGGGAGCCAGTGCTTCCCCTCAGGATAACAATTCTAGTGCTAGCCCTGAAGTTGCCTCATGAGAAGGGAAAATGATTTCTCCCCACTGTCAGCTCTGCAGTTGAAAAGGGCAACACAGTCTTAAGTTTCTACAGCACAAATTGCCCAGAACTTGTTTCCTTATTGGTTGATGGCTGATTCCTCCCTGCTATCTGAGATGATTAGTTTTGAAGTCATCTCCTGCTTGCAGGTAAATTGCTAGCATGGATGATATGGAGAATATGGTAATTCAAATTATTTATTGGAATAATTCTGCCTACTGAGCTCTCCCAACTTTTGGTCAGACTGAGCAGCTGGTCCAAAAGCAGGGGTGGGTGGTTCAAAAAGCCATTTGGCTGAGTTTAGAGGTCTCTCTTCTCTTTATGAAGCATCTCCCTGAAAACCTTACAAGGTCTTGGAGGAGCGGAGGAATCCTAGAGGAGCAGTGCCGAGCTCAGCTTCATGGATTGTTGCTTTGGTTGTAAATTATGGGTGATTGAGTTAATAAAAAGTTGATTTCTAAAGGATGGTGTGCTAACACATTATTAACACATTATTGACTTACCTGATGTAAGTAGGGAAATCATTGCTTATCTTAATTGTTGCTTTAATTGACTTAAGGTAAAAAAGTCATACAGTGCCTTTTCAGCCTAAAGTCTGTCTGCAAGCAATTTCATTTGGAAGCCCTCTTAGAAAGCAGAAGAAGAAAAAACCCTCTATCCTTTTTCTTATAGATAAAACAATTACATTATGGCTTAATTGAACTGTTTACAGCATTTAAAATCTTACAGGGATGTGGGGCAAAGAGGAGCAGTAGTCTTTATAGCAGGGATGTGAAGCTCACATCACAATAGCATCATGTGACGTATCGGGATTTTTTCCCCTTCACTAAACTGGGTGTGGGCATGGCCAGCACATGGGCTGGGAGTTTGACAGCCCTGCTTTATAAGGAAGGAGAGATAATTTTTTTCACCCATGAAATGAATTACTGATAGATTAATAGGCATGTAATTTGTTATTCTGAGGGAATGACCTAATCCCTGGTATCCCTGACACACACTGAATCAAAAGCACTTGAAAAGATTGGTTAACACACACCTAGAATAGTGCAAGCCTCTTCCACGTGGCTATAATAGCCAGGCCCGGAACAAGGTCAGCAGTAGGCTCAGCCATTATTATAAGAGGAAAAAAATTAATGACATAAAAGGGAGCAGGAAATAAACAGTCCACGCTTTTTGCTCCAGGATTGGCAGTTGAACTGCTGGTTCTGTTTAAAGCAATGCAAATGTACATCGGCCTGGAGCTTCCCCTTCTTCTTCACTGTCACTGGATACAATCCATGACATGGATTTGTAGGGTGTCCATGTCTGGAGCTTTATACTGGCATTTGGGACAATAGTGGGTAGGCTGTTCTTCTAGAACATTTTGTCTTCGCCCTGTTACAAGCTGGGGATGGAATGGGGTGGTGCCCATCAAGAAATCTGGAAAGGGAAGGAAGAGTAAGTTAGCAAATTGAGCATACTGTATAACCGCTCCTTCTCTAACAGAGATGGCAGTGTTTAGTGAATTATGAAAAGCATTATCTGGTAAAAAATACAAGAAAAACAGGGATATTAGTTCTACACTGAATTAATGGAGGCAGTGATTAAACAGCCCAAAGATACAATTGATACAATATAATAATAGAGAAGTGTATTTTTTATCCAGCCTTTCTATGGAAAGGTTTTCTCCCCCCCCAAAAAAAATAAAATAAAAAATCATTGGATTATCTTAAGCAGCTAGCAACAGTTAACCTGCAATATAAAGAAAACTACTTTTCAGAGGGGGAAAAAAACAATTTTAAAAAGGTTCAGGAAATTACAGGCCATGTACTTTTCACTAGGAAGAAAAAAATGGATATACAGAATAGTATACAGAAAATCCAGCAGATTCCGGAGCATTCAACATTGTGATTTTGAGAGGGGATGCAAAAATATTTGTGATCTATGCAGTAGAATAAAATTGTGCTAATAGAGTATCAGGAACAACTTGTTTCTTGCCCAGGCTTATCAAGCTCTCCAAGCGTGTCAGAATGTTATACTGTTTTTGGTAGTCGGCATAAGAGGGCTTTGAGGAAATCCCATGAAAGGCTCCATCCAGTATAATTATGGACATAAGAAAAGCGGACAGCCCATTTTAGGGAAATGATTAAGTAACAGCAAGCAAGAGCTGGTCTAAATATTTAGTTAAAAACAAATGGTTTCCTCAAATACCTTATTGGAGCACAAGTTGACCTTATGCTTGTAAGGTGGGTGTGACTATAATACTGCTGCATGGCTGGTCATAAAACACCTGAAAGCAAACTGGCCAAGATGGATTTTTACCATTGTCTTTAACAGCCAAGAATACTTTCTACAATCCAGTTTACTTTTCTGATTCAGGATAGCACTGCACACTTCCAAAGTTGCCCACAAGCATTGGGGCAGCAGCCATTCAACATTTTTTTTTGTCAAGATTGTCAGTGAAGCTGAAAGGTATTTGAAATAAAGATAATGCTTGGAGGCAAATATTTCTGTTCAAAAGATAAAACCTTTAAAATACTAAAGGAGACAGGAGCCTGCTGTGTACACAGGAGCACCACACTGCTTGACCTAATTTTCTGAAACTAAAGGTTAGCAGTAACCTAACAAGGTCTGTGGGAATATCAAATTATTAGGACATGTACATTCTTCACTAAACATTGAAAAGAGTGTTCTCCAGTGAACAAAGATGTGAAATTCTATATATGGAAGTGAATTATATCTCATTTCCCACGTATGTCAAGCTCCAAAGTGCCAATGACAAGAAAAATACCTCAATGAAAATATTGTCTACAGCAAAAATTGAAAGCAAATCACATGCTATAAATCAGGAAAGGAATTAAAAATGAAGCTACCAGAGTCTCAAGTACTGACATAGGAAAGAAACAGCAAGAAGTTTCAGTGCTGAAAACATTGCTGCAATTTAGCTGCAGAAGTTTCCATTTTCCATTTGTTTAAATTTATTTTGCTTCCAATGAAAGCAAGAGTGTTTCCAAGATAGCTATTGTTTTCGTGTGCATCAGAGCAAATGGCAAAAAAAATTGAACTACCTTAAGCAAACTCCTGCTGCAAACCTAGCAGCAGCAAAAGATTTGTCTGCAGTAAGCCCCAATCTGAATTTCTTCGGTTTTATATTTGCCATATGCCCTCAAACTACTGAGATAGCACCCAATTTTCCAGGAAATTTAATTTGATTTGCCTACAAAGTATGACAATAGATCTGGACCTTTAAGTTCAAGAGATAAAGTATTTCGTTGATATAGTGGGTGGAGGGTAAATTCAAACTCACAGATAAGATTAATTACTTCATAAATAACAGTAAAAAGATGAAATACACAGCTCAGATACACAAGCCAAAGATCGGCCTTCTTTGATTCTTAAGAGCATCTATTTCCTACATCCAAATGGCATTTTGCCTACGTTGTAAAGTGAAAAACATACATCCTTGCTGAAGAAACAAATCTAAATCCTCCAGCCCTATCAGGTCATATAGCCCTTAAATCCTTTCTTGCGTCTGTCTCCCTGGAGCTGGAGCAGCAGTTTGGGGCTGTATGGTTGCCTTCTGCAGCTCTTACCTGATCCTGCATTTGATTGAAAGAGTCAGGTGCTGCATCTTCACTGCCCATGTGCTTACAAAGCGCTTTTTATTTGCCCTGCTTTATAATTATGCCAGCCTCTGGAATTAGTGGAGACCATTGCAAAATAATGCATAACACTATAAATAAGTGCCAACACTTACTCGGCTGAGGAGGTGGACGCATTTCTGAATGGCGGTTCCTCATCTCATCCATCAGAGCCCTAGACAGACAAGAAAGAACACCAGAAAGAAATGGTGGAAGAACAGTGAGCAGCATTGCCTCTGGCTACGGACTCCAACAAATATTACAGAAGTTATTAAGTTGGAGTAGGAAAATGGTTCTATTCTAGATGCGTAAGGGTTTCTTTCCGTCCTCTAATCTACTCACCGGCTGACTCCTTCAGAGTCGGCTTTCAGCTTTTCATTCTCCCTCTGCAACTGGGCAACCTGCTCCAGCAGGGTCTCTCGTTGTTCGTGTAGCTTTTCACGTGCCTGGCGCTCTGCCAGGAAATCTGTCTTGTAGATATCAGCCTGAATGGAAAAGATAGGATAAAAACTGGTGGCACACTGATTAGAACTCCCACTTGCCAGGAGTTCAATCCTGACGGAGCTCAAGGTTGACTCAGCCTTCCATCTTTCCGAAGTTGGTAAAATGAGGGTCCAGTTTGTTGGGAGCAATATGCTATAAAGCAGGGGTCCCCAACCACCGGGCCGCGGACCGGTACCGGGCCGCGGAACAACTCCTACCGGGCCGCTGGCTTGCTGGGCGCCGCCATCTTTTTTTCATGAAAAAGTGCTTCCGGTGAGCTTTTCCGGGTAGAAAGCTCACCGGAAGCACGTTTTCATCAAAAAAAGATGGCGGCGCCCAGCTGATGCCGGTACCGGGCCGCGGCGTCAAAAAGGTTGGGGATCACTGCTGTAAAGCACTGTGGAGTGCTATAGAAGCCTAAATGCTATTGCTATTGCTGTGTTTGGTTTTTATCCCAATTTTATTACTTTATAAGTAACTCAAGGTGGTGAACATACTGTACCTAATACTCTTTCCTCCTGTTTTCCCCACAACAATAACCCTGTGAGGTGGGCTGTGCTGAGAGTGAATAATTGGGCCAAAGTCACCCGGTTGACTTTCATGGCTCATCGCCACTACTAGCTTGGCAGAAGCAGGCCAAACTGGTAGAACACTACCAAACTGGCTGGTAGGCTGTGTTTAGGTTAGAACTAGAACTTACAGTTTCCTGGTTTCTAGGCCAGCACTTTAACTATTAGATCATAGTGGCTTTCTCATTACTCATGCTGAACCACTCACAAATACATAGGAATCCCAGCCTCTTTTCTAACAAAGTGACATCATACTCACCTGGGCCTTGAGCACAGGCACAGTCTCCATGACAGTTTTGTGCTGTTCAGCATCCTCCTTCAGCTTGTCAATGTGCTCTTGCTTGGCTACCAGAGCCTCTTCAGCCTGCTGCAGTTGCTGAGACAGTTCACTAAGCTGCACATCCAAGCCCTGAGGAGGGGACAGTTTACAATGTTGACACTCTGTGCAAAGAAATCTTTTTTTTTTTCTCCTGGCGCAAGAAAAGATTGCCCCCTCCCATATTCTGGCTCCCACTCATCCCCAGCGTCAAGATTTTCCATTACAATTCATCAAATGTCTCCCACCTTGCTTCGTTTTTCAGTTTCCAAGCTGGTTTTGATGTGGGCATCGTACTCTTGGAAGAGCTGGTGATAGGCCACCTGCACTTGGGCTAGTTTTCTCCTAAAAGGAAGATTATACAAATCATTGCCAAAGGGCCCAGGTTAATCCGAATACTTCTATCAAAAATACCCTCGCTTCCTTTGTTTCTGCCTGGATCACTTTCACACTCACTTTTCCTCTGTGGCACTCTGTCGTTCCACTCGCAGAGCACTCTCAAGGTTTTGCACCTGCAACCTCAACTGATCCACTTGTACACCGTGCTGTTTGTTGCGGATTTCAGCCTCTTTTTCAAGCTGCTGCAGTCGTTCACCAGCCCCACGAACCCTGTAGAGATGGCACACACGTCATCTAATTCTGCCTAATTCACCAAAATTCCAATGTCAGCAGAATTCCCTTCAAATGTCTACCCAGCAAGTACACACCATGACAACACTAGATCCAGCATTGTTTGATTCAGTAAGTTTTCTATACAGCTTCCTGAGTCTTCACCATCATGCTCAGGGCCATCATCCTCTTCTGTGGCTTCACATGGGAAGTGTGTTACTTTGGAGGATGTGCATGCAATTGGGGGTCCCTCTGAGCTCTCCATCCCAGCTGCCTGCACCCCTGAAGAAGCAACCCGCCTACCCCTTCAGCAGTGCAAGTGAACAGAGTGAAAACAACAAAGAAACATCTCCAGCTCTTCACTTCTTGTCATTATTTTTGTTGTGATCTGATAGATCACCTAGAAACTCACAACAATACCCAGTTCACAGCTGAATTAAAAAAAAAAATGTTCAGTGACTGGAGAACTGGAAAGAAAGAAGTGCCTTGCCCTTCTGGCCAGGAAGAAATGGGGTCTCTTCTCTGCTTTTCAAAGTGAGAGGTGGTTCTTCCAAAATCAACAAAAGGACTCTGGAAGGTTTCAAACAGCCAATCTTTCACAGTTGGTACAGAAAGATACTGTAAGCAGATTTAGGGCACGAGGGCTATCCCATAAGCTCTGCTAGTTTGAAGCCAGATCTACTTAAAGAGGAAAAGCAGGGGAGTCACCCTCCCTGTCCCACACAGCAGCCTCAGCTCATTGTTCCATAATGGCTGCATCACTGCAGAGAAAGGGGTCTCTCCCAGCTGTCTGCCCACAACATCATATGCCAACCTCCTGTATGCCTCTCACCTCTCCTCCAGCTCTTTGTTTTGCTCTGTACAAGTTTCGAGGCGGCTTTGGCTCTCCAGCAGCTCCCCCAACAGAGATGTCACCTGGGCCTTTGCTAAAGCCTTATCCTCCCCAACTTGCTGTAATGAGAAGAGGGCCCAGGGTCAATACATCTACAGGGGGATGAAGAGGAGCCCCCCTGTTTTACTCCTCCTTCCCAGCTTGCAAAAGAGGGCCTGGGAACACATTCACCTCTAGTTGTTTGGTCAAGGTTTGTAGCTGCTGCTGGATCTCCTGCTCCCTGGCAGTCCGGCAGGCTAGCTCTTCCAAACTAGAGGCCAGCTGTTGCTGAAGGGCTAAGCTTCTGGGGGTGGGACAAAACAAGGAGGGACACAGATTGAACCAATGAACTTCATCAGTTTCCAAATAACAGGCTTTACAGAGTTGGAGTAGAAATACATAAAAATACCAAATTTAGGAATGAAATAAAATGGAAAAGGAAAAACCCAGTACTGTACTAAAGTCTAAAAAGTTAAATACTTCTTTCATGATAAAGTTACTTTGCTAAACTATTAAAGGCCATATTTTTATAAAGTAGCACAAAATAACATAAAATTGAGACAGAGCTGCCAAATGCCATGCTTTGTTTCTACTTAAATGAAAATTTGTCTTGTTTCCTAACCATAAGAGCTATACAACACAATTTGGAAACTTTAAAAACGATGCCACTGCCTGAAAGAAGAAATGAAACTCAGAATTTCTCTAGCCTGCTCAGGAAATTGCTTATAAGTGACAAATTTCATCATAAAACTGACATACAGTTTCAGCTGCACCTGCATGACTGGGACAAAGCCTCATTCTAATGGGAACATGTTCATAGCCTCCTTCCAGTAAGGCTGAAGGCAGCCTATTTTGCAGGAGTAAGAGTGTATAGATATTTAGACAGGACATTTGCTTTTCAAATCTAGGAAAGCTCCTAGTATCCCTCTATGAATTAATATCCATTATTTGCTATTTGATAACTGCTTTAGTACTTACCATGCTCCCACTCCCAATATCAGGGCTATAACAAACAAATATTTTGTCATTTATGCCTCTAAGCTCTTCTTCTAAGTTGAGTAAATGCTATCTAATAGAGCCAGTGGGATTAAAATTTCAAGGAAGAACATCAGTTTGCCAGTAGGTGATTTTACATATCCAAAATCCTGGTTCTACTGGCTTACAAACGGCCTACAATGAAAAGATAACAGTGGAGTAATTACCTTGTTCTGGTAATGGTTGAGGAAAGAGCTCAGAAGTGTTTGTGATTCTCAACTGAGTATCAATAGGTATTTGACTAGCCTTATTTTCCTTTCTCATCAAAACATAGCATTTCCTTCAGTTGTGTTAGCCATTCTAGAGAGGGTTATTTCTATTTGCTGTTTCCTCAACCATCCATTTGAAAACGTTAGTCCTTGATCCGTCCTAACAGCATGCATGCTTACATGGCTATTTCTTATAAAATACCAATGCATCATTATCTACTTACTCATCTTCAGCCTCCTTCAGCCTTTTTTGCAGCTGCTCAATTTGTTTCCCATCAGCACTGTGAAGGGGAACAGAAAATACTGAGAATAATGATGATGATGATAAGGATTGGAAGAAGAATTATTAGAAGAATAATTAGAATTAGAATGAGGAGGAGGATTGATCTCCACTGGCCATTTTCCATAATATTTAAATGCTGTGGATATTGCAGGGTATTGTGTACATTAAAAACTGCAATGCTAGGGACTATATGGATGGAGGATGCACAGCAACCTAAATTCTGAACTTCTAAATTATTATCATCAGGTATATTTCTGCACATTCCTATGAAATATGAGAGTTACTGAGGGAAAAGGTCTTTTCCAGACCTGTTTTGGAACATCTCCAAGAGGAGGTTATCACTATAATGCATTTTCACCATCATTATTTTTTGTCTACCATTTTTAACTTAAGTTGTCTTTTTTTGCAGATATATTTGTACATTTATTGTTATACATTTACTGTTTGGGGCAGTTTTATCTATATATTTTATTGTACCTTTAAAATAATTCCTTGTAAAGCACTCCAAAACAAGATGCAAATCTTCATAATAATACCGATAAGATAAATAAGTATTTTAGAATGAGTATCCAGGTTAGTCTACAAAGGTCTTAGGATACTTACTGGTCCCCTGAGCTCTGCAGGGATTCTACTTCCAGGGACTGCTCCAATGAACAACCATTCTCCTAGGAAGGTAACAAGAAGGGTACATTGTGAGATCAGCCTTACCAGCTCCAGTTGCCTTCCTCATCTCTTTATGCCACTATCATGAACTTCACATGATCGTCTTTCCCCTATGGCCTCCCTTGTCCCATTATACATTCAGCATCTGTTGCTGCTGCCACATCTCACGTTGATATTTATTCTGACCTCTTCTACTGGCACAGTGACCTTTGCTGTTTGTTGCAGTATGGCGATCTTAGCCTTCAAGGCAAGTTTTTCTTTCTGTAAGATCTGGTTGGCATCTTGCAATGCCTTCCAGTCCTCTTCTAGCTTTTCCTTTTTTTGTTTTAGTATCCCCGATGTCTGAAATAAAAACAATGGGAAGAAGGAAAATCTTTGTGATGAGAAATTGTATAAGCCACCCACAGCAGGTGAAATGATACAGCCTTAATCTATCTACAGGATGAGGCAAATGTAGAAAGAATTCAAATCTCTATTTTCTATGTTATTGCTTTGCATCAATTACAAAGCTCATCTAGGTCAGGTTCTCTTATGTGAAATTTTCCAAAAGTGCTGAACTACATTTTCAATTCAATCATCTTCCATCAAGATTTGCTACCCTAGTTAAAGCTGTTGGAATTTGTACATCAGCATATCTGGAGGGCACTGAATTAGAGAACTGGTAGATAGATAATGCACACCTACCACAGTAAGTACATCTTCCTCAGTAAGAGTCACAGTGTCTGACTCGTCTTGTGTGCCAGGGAGGTCTTTTTCTAAGATAAATGATTGAGAAGCTGTCTGTGAAGAGTAACACAAAAGTATTGATGTATGTGATAGTTCTGAAATTGCTTCAATGTTTTTTTCGCATGCCAATATACACCACACATTATAAGGATGCATTATTCTTTAGCAAGATACTTAAACTGGAACAAAGGGGAATCAGAGGAAGACCCCAAACTCTTAACCCTTCTCTGTTCCCAACTGCACCCAGTTGCACCTTCAGTCGCTCCATGTCCTGAAAAGCCTGTTGCAACTGTTTTTCCAATTCCATGCGTTCCATGTGCAATTTTTCCACCACATGCCGAGCCTCCTGGAACTTGCTCATAATGAATTCTTTCTCCTCCTTTTTGGAAGCATGGAACTGTACAAATTCCTGGTACCGCTCTCGTAGCATGTGGTTACTCTGTCGGATGGCTTCTATATGCAGAACACAAACAAAGGACGTTTACTGGACTAGTGTCCTACCTTCTTTATGCATTACATTAGAGGACGATGATTGACTAAACAATAAATCCACCATCTCATCAAAATCCCTCTTTACTATGCAGGATGAGTGCATTCTTCTGTAATGAGAATTGAATTCTCACTTTTAGTCATATGATCTCACATCTCAAGAGACCAAATTCCAATAAAGCTAGGGAAAACATGCCCATATAACGATGTCTAGGATCAGGCTATCAAAATCAGAAAATTTGACAGATTAGAATTTCATCTACTCTCCTTATCAGTCCTATTTCTCTTTCCTTTCAAATTAATTATTCTAAATATTCGATTTATTATTACAGTGGCAGTTTTTATTATACCTACAATCTATTGCTTTTATACTGTTACTGGTCGGACTCTCTCTTCATTAACATCAGCATGTATTTATTTCTACAATTTCCATCAGTAAGTTTAGTTGCAAGAGAACCATTCTTCTCTGATTTGTCCCTGTAATTCAGCCATTCATTTCCATCTGGAGTTAGGTAATTAAGTAGCACTTCTCTTTTGCAGGAGATTATACACAATGACTGCCCTTGTAGCTCTTGCCAATAGCCCAGACCAAAAGAAACTATTCAAAACTTAAAAAGTGCTGGCGGGAAAGGGATGACTGCTCTGAACTTATTCTGTCCCTGATTAAAAAGTAAAACAAAACAGTGGAGAATCTACTCTTACATACCAAGTCTAGAAAGGAAACAAGCAGAGGAGCAAGAAGCTTTCCAGCCATCAACAGAAAGTAACTAGACAATTTACAAAGCTGTCTAATATAAATTCAAAGAGGTGACAAATAAAGCTTTTGGAGTTTCTGATGTGAAAAAAAAGGAAAGCTAGAATACTTGAAACCCAGTCTTAGCTAAGTAGCCAGTTGATTAGTTTTCTTCCTAAAGACAGCAACTCACTAAATATAGGCAAAAGTAAAAACTGAAAACTCAAGAATCTAATCAGTGGTTGGATATCTCAAGACTTCTGAAGTTACAGAATTATAATCCCCACAGGGTTCCTCATGATTAATCATGATGGCTGGAGCTGCAGAGAATTACAATTCATAAAAGAAAGCCAGAGATTCTAAACCATTCTAGTTATCTACCTTATCTGATACTTAAAATATTGCCTGATTCATTTATGGAAATGTCTATTATAAGAGACAGGGACTGAATATAAATTGAATGGCAGGACACAATAAGAGAATATTGAATTTATCAACCTTGATATCATTTAAACACGATAGTGGTGGTCACTCCAGCATGTCCTCACCTTTGAGATCTCTGTTCTCAGCCAGGAAATATTGTACGGCTTCATGTCCTGCTAGCTCAGCTGGCAACTGAAGAGTACCAGCTTTGCCCAGTGAGGAATCATCTCCCATCATGCCATAGTCACCAGCTGGGCACCCACTTGGCTGCACCATGTCGCAACTCCAATCCCCTTGGGCTATACTCATCCAGCCAGATCCTGGGAACAGAGGACGCATACCGTCAGAGCCTTCAT